TGGGCACGAACTTAATACGTTTCTAATAAAATTTTATATAAGAAAATTATTTAAAAGAATAAATTTTCTAATAAAATTTTTTCTTTAGGATTCAGCTTTTATAAATATGTAATTTATACTTTCTTTTAGCCCTCAAGGGAAAAAAAAAACTGGACTTATTTAATGTATTTAGCAGTTGGCTTCAATTGTTAAAATAGCAATAGATTTTTGGTTGCTTGACCTAATTATAAATCAATTAAATAAATCCATTACCTAAAAAGGAAAGGTTACAAAATAGCTGAATCACAAATAGTGACTCTCACTTACATATAATTTCCTTTATATGCATACCTCACTTGGGGGCCCTGAGTGGAGTCAGCTCTGTGGTATAAGGATTGAAAATCAAGCATCAATCCCAAACTCTCGTGCTATAGCCTCTCATTCAGGTATGCACTCTTTCTGAACTCAAGATAAACAACACAGAAAGCCTGAGGTTGTGAATTCCCCAAACCACAGACAAACCCACAGCTATGGATTTGATTCAGACCCAGGGAGACTGAGTTGATCTGCCTCATAGTTTCCAAGGCCAAACATCTTCACAGAAGGAATATAGTTTCTCTCTACTCTGGGTAACTGTGGATTTGAATCAATGACCTTTCCTTAGCAGCTGAATGTTTCAACTACTGCACCACAAGAGCTTCTTTTATGAGTCTCCAGGAATTGTATATTAAACACAATTAGTAGGGGATTTTTGGGGGCAAACTCACAGAAAGCTTTCGTTTAGCCCTCATTTATCAGCACCAGCTAAGTGTCAGGCATAGAAGTTAATAAGATACGACTTAAGAAGGAAGTTACAGAAAACCCAAATGCAAGCATAGCTTCCAACACTGTTGCTGATATATTAACTTCATTTTCTTCAAATGAAGATAATTTCTTTAAAGCAAATTCTTCTTGATATGCTGACTGTGGCATTTAATGAAATTTTTGACAAATCAAAGATTTCTGTAAAACAGGAATATTTCATATTAAAAAAGAAAAAATAATTTTTAGTTTATTAAAGTTTAATATCATATATGCAAGCATTTAATTGTGAGTATTCTTGAGCGTAAAATGGAAAAAACACTTAATGACAGAGATTGCTAGCTACACCTGCATCCAGTCTTCCTTATCAAAACATGAATGTTAAGCCAAATTAGTATTGAGTTACTTTGACATTTGATAGGCTAAGCCTTGAGTAAGAAAATGTAGGTTGTGTTGCACTTCTAGGAATGCTGTTCTAATTGACTTGACTAAAGACAGAGGGGTTCACTTGTTTTGTTTTGTATTTACATGCATAAGTTCCAGCAGTATGTTGGCCTGTGAAGTAACACTTAGAATGGATGCATACCCTTCAAACATGGCAGAGTCCAACAATTTGTGCAACTGTCAGTCATGTCATTCCAGTCTTGGACTACCTATCACTGAACTTTCTTTACTTGAGAGAGAAATACACACCTATATTTTTTAAGCAATAATTGTTTTGGTTGTCTGTTATATACAGTAGAATCTAACTCACAATCATATGAGCTCTTTTAAGATTGTTTTCATTGGTACCAGCAAATAAAACAAGTGAAGAGTAGTTTATCAAATGTATTTGTGTCCTTCTTCCAATCTTGGTTTCATTTCATCTTTCCAACTCTTAGGTTTTGCCCTTTCTTCATTTACCTATCTTAAATATTGCATATTACATTCAATTTTAATTTTTAACTACACAAGCAATATAACTTAAAAAAATTTAGACAATAGCTTTATACAAAGTCTAAATATTTTATACCTCATACTGTACCTTCCTTTTTCCTCTCAAGGAAGCAAGTTAATCTATATATATAGTCAGTCCAGAGAGACAGGTCACCAAAGGAAAGTTTACCTAATGATCAACCTCTGACTTCACCATATTGACTTAAGGGGATACAGACCAGCTTTGACCAGAATATTTCAAAACTTTTAAAATAAGACTTCTCATATGAAAAAATTTGTTTCTATTTTTAAATATAGGACTATTTCTAATAAAGTATAAGCCTTGTAATTTCCAGGAATTAAAGAAACTAGATCTCAGAACAGATGTAAGATGGGAGCTGGAGTTTACCTTGGAAAAATGTTAAGTGCAGTTGAGTCATAGATGACTTATAACGACCTATGAACAAAAGACCTAAATGCTTGTGTAACTTTCATCATTTCTCCATGTTCATAGAGTTTCCAGAGGTAAGCTATTTCTTAAGTGGATGCCACTCATGCTTCCAAGCTTGTTTTAATCAGGGAGCTCCACCAAATACTGTCCACCATGGGTAATCATTATCACATTTGACACAGCAGTGTCACAGTGTTTAGCGTCATAGCAACTATGAGTTACCTCTGCACAACAAATGGACAGACCAGTGTTATACCACTTAGAAGAATGTCTGACCAAAACCAAATAAAACCAGGTCTGAGGGCCGCAGATTAAAATCATGCACCTTTGGCTTGGTAGCATAACCTTCTGTCCTCTAGGCCAACAGAGCTCTCATGTTGTTGTTGTTGTTAAGTGCCGTTGAGTCACGACTATGAATGAAAGACCTGAACACTTGTATAACTTTCATCATTTCTCCAAGTTCACAGAGGTAAGCTATTTCCGTTTTGAGGGTATGAAATAGATAATCTTAGCAGGAAGGTTAAAAGATCATCAGTGCTTCTGCCAAAACTTTAAGAGAGAGAGTAAATGGAGAAAAACTCCCCCAAAGTCAACCCTGGAAAATGCAATGGAAAAAATCTACCTCAGAGCAGTGTATAGAAAACCAATAAATATTTAAAAACTCAGGTGAGAACTTTTAAATTCTTATTGATGGTTTCTCTATTTGATCAAGGTGTTGAGTAAGCCCATTTGTTTTTCTTTTCTTCTTTTTTCATGTGTGTGCCTATTGCTATGAACTGCCCACAGAGGGCTGCCTTAGCTGTATCCCAGAGGTTTTGGTGTGTTGGATTTTAATTAGTTTCAAGGAACTTTTTAAATTTTTTTTCCAACAGGAAAAAAAGTTTCTTTTAATTTTACTATCAATTTCTCTATTTAGCTCTTAGCCTTCCAATTTTTTTTTGAACTTTTTAAATTTAATTCTTTTTTTCTCCTATAATCCAATCATGTTCTACCAAAGAGTTATTCAATTTCCACAAGGCTGGTTTTTCAAGCTTTACAATCCTGAGATTAATTTCTAGTTTTGTGGCACTGTGGCCTGAGAAGATACTTTAAATGTTTTTTAATTTGTAGAAGCTTGCTTTGTGTCCTCAGATGTGATCTAGTCTGGAGAACGTATTATGTGCACTTGAGAAAAAAGTTAATTGAGTTTTAGTTGGGTACCCTGAATTCATCCACAAGGTCAAGCTGACTGTATAATTTAGATCATTTGCATCTTTGTTATGTTTCTTTTGAGTTGACCTATTCTTTGGTAATCGTGGTGTGTTGAAGTCTTCTACCACTATTGTGGTGCTATTTCTTTCTTCAAGCAGAAGTGGCATCAACTCTCTAAATAACATGTTCTGGAAACTCTATGAACTTAGAGAAATGTGGATAGTTATAGAACAAGATTCAGGGTTTTTGTTCATCAGGTCACTATGAATCATGCTTGACTCAATGGCTTTTAACAGCAATAACATTTCTTTCTTCAGTTCTGTTAGCCTTTCTTTTATGTATTTTGCAGGACTATCATTTGGTGCATAAATGTCGACCATGGTTTTTTTTTTTTAAACTACTGTTCTTTAATCTGTATATAATTCCCTTCCTTATCTTTTATGGTGGTTTTCATAGTGAAGTTTATTTTATCAGTGATTTTAAAAGCCACTGCTGCTTTTTTTGTGGTTGCCATTAGCTTGGTATATTTTTTTGCAGCCTTTGATTTTGAATCTGTCTTTCTCTTCCTTTCTGAGATGTGTCTCTTTATAGGCAACATGTTGATGGGCTTTGTTGTGTGTTTTTT